TTTTTTTTTTTTTTTAGTATACTGATAACACAACTGATACATATCAGTAAAATGTGGTTGTAAAATTGTAACTTTTGCTCTGTGGTAAATAATTGTTGGTTGCTTCCCTGGAATCCACAGCCTCTTTTCCTGTCAATAGCTTCCTGATTTGACACTGGGAAAGTCACTGCTCTCCTATTCTAAATCATTCAGCTTGGGCAAGATTGGCCCAAGCTGTTGGGCCCTGTGGGGCTTAAATAAATCATTATACCCCAACCCTGACCCATCATGACTGGTTCAGGGATGGACACATTTCTTTTTCTACAGGAGACATCAGAAGAGAGTCTATCTTTCCTGCTGGACAAGAATAAAGAAGGATGTAGCCCCTTGGAGCTGCTGACAGCCTCTTTGCAAATACAAGAAAACCTGCCTGAGAACTGAAAGACAGAAAGTAAATCTTCATCACATTGTTAGAGCCCTAGATTGAGCCACACCTAAGGATAAACCTATTCCTATACTGTTTAGTGATTTAAAAAAAAAAAAAAAACCCACTGCTGTCAAGTTGATTCTGACTCATGGCGACCCCATGTGTCAGACTAGAATTGCTCCACAGGGTTTTTTTGGCTGTAATATTTATGGAAGCAGATCTCCAGGCCTTTCTTCCATGGGGCTTCTGCGTAGGTTCGAACCGTCAATCTTTAGGTTAGCAGCCAATCACAAATTGCTTGCTTGTTTAACCCAACTTGAGTTGGACTATGTTACTTACAAAACAGTCATAATTGACGGCAGACACAACATGTTTTAAGATACTCTTGTCACATTTAAAAACTAGTGAGTATAAAATTCAGGAAGATGCACACTTTTCTGTGCAATTTTCTGTATGTATGTTATTCTTCAATAAAAATTTACTAGAAGAAAAATTTTTACTATATTCGATTAAATTTCTCCCCAGTCATTTCCTGCTATGCTGACATAATCTAGATTTGTAAGATTTCTGCTCTGAAGTAAATGTTGGTTTACTTACTTGTGATGTTCTGACTTTAGATAGTTATAAATAAAAATCTCAATCTCAGGTTTTTTCTTTTTTTTTTCTATTTTCCACTCATCAACCTGCCTATTTTCACTGATTTACATTCTCAGTTTCATTTTTCTGGATAAAAATTTAGGTAATAATTTTTAACTTTCAAAATCATATATTTTCAAATAACTTTCAAAATCATTATTTTTACCACATATGTAATATGCTCTCAGTTTTTAGTTAAATCTGTTTAAAATGCAAAAACACAACACTCATTTGAAGGACAATATATGTAGAAACTGAGGCATTGAGCATAGATACCACCAAGGAACCATCGTAGAAATATGTCATTTAATTTTCCACTATGAATTTCCAATCTAAAAGCATTCTCAAGGACACAAAGAGACAACACAGGCCACTAGCTGCATCAGCTATTCATTGCTGTGTAATCAAACACCCCAAAACTTAGAAGACTTAAAACAACAACATGATGGTAGCTGCATTCAAGGGGTAAGTCTCAATGCACAAGTGCTTTTAGAGCCTCTGCTTGAGTCAAGTTCCCTAGTGTCCCGCTGACTTAAAGAAAGTCACTTGGTCAAGCCCATAGATACTGGAAGGTTTAACTATCGGGGGCCATTAGTAACACAATATACCACACTGACTTTACTTGAACTATCAATTTTGTATATTAAAAACAATCTATATGTGCAATTTACTGCAAAGTTCCCAATCTTTAGTTGAAAAATATTTGAAAGCCTGCCAATTCGGCAAAATGAGACATTGCTATTATTATATGCAAATGAGACCTTTAGATTGCAAAGATAATAGCATCACCAAAATTGGTCTGGGCTACATGTAACCATAATAGAGCTGATTCCTCTAAGTCTATTTTTCCCCCAGGTTCTCAGTAACTAAATTTGCACTATTTTTCTAGTACACAGTCCCAGAGAACACAGAGGAATCTAAGTCAGCATGTTCTTGAATAAACTAATCTACAAACTACAGACAGAACTTAATACTAAAACATGACAACCTCCCATAAAAGGAATATGCTTAGAAGCCTCTTAGGTAAAAGTGTGAAATACAAAATTTCTGTTCTTTCTACATTTTTTTTCCTCCAAGGAAAAAATGCATTCTCTTAGCTTCAATTTTCACTCCCGTGAGGATGATTTCAAAACCTTCTTCTCTAGTCCTGAATCCATACCCATCCTCCAATCCGGTACCTTGAACTGGGCATAACCCCCTCCTCATAATAAGACAATTTTCTGAGAATTGTTAAGTAGTGATTGATAGTTATTAGGTAAGTAGTTACTTGCTAGATACTTTGAAGCCCAGGGAAGGTCACCATAATAAAGTACTATTGGAACCTTTTTTTGGCCAGGAGTCACATGACATCCTTAATTCCTCTATCTAATTCAATCATGGTAATCCCATTTCCCTGGCCAGTGCCAAATCCTGGGATGGAAGGTAGATACCAACACAGTAATAACACTTAATCAGCTGTCTCTTACCCTCCACATTTCTTGGGTGTGAATCAAACCTGAGTCAGCTCCCCCTAACTGCATGGGTCACAGAGTAGCTCTTAGAGTGGCCCCATTGAAGCCCCCACTTAACCAGCTTTGCTTTAAATTAGCAAGTACCCCTTATGACTGCAACCCAACTTTCTCTTCATATATGCTTCTTACAAAATCATCTCTTTCCAAATACTGTCCACTCCAGTGACCTTTCATATTGTCAAAATGGATGAAGGAGTTCAACAGGCACAGAACCAGTTCTAGGGTACCTCCTTTGAAATATTCATATGGTCTGGCTCTCACAACTTTGGTATCTGATATCTAGCATGTCTTGGTATCTAATCCAAAACTTCTAAATTAACATCCTGTCTTGGTTACCTAGTGCTGCTATAACAGAAATAACACAAGTGAGTGGCTTTAACAAATAGAAATTGATTCTCTCACAGTCTAGGAGGCTAGAAGTCCAAATTCAGGGTGCCAGCTCCAGGGGAACGTTTTCTCTCTCTGTCAGCTCTGGGGGAAGGTCCTTGTCATCAATCTTCCCCAGTCGAGAAGCTTCTTAGCGTAGGAAACCCGGACCCAAAGGACACGCTATTCTCCTAGCTCTTATTTCTTGGTGCTGTGAGGTCCCCCATCTCTCTGCTCGCTTCTCTCTTTTATATCTCAAAAGAGACTGGCTTAAAATGCAACCTAATCTTGTAGATCGAGTCCTGTCTCATTAACATAATTTCCAATAATCCCACCTCATTGACATCATAGAGATAGGATTTACAACACATAGGAAAATCACATCAGATGACAAAATGGTGGACAATCACATAATAATGGGAATCATGGCCTAGCCAACTTGACAGATATTTTGGAGGGACACAATTCAATCCATGACACATCCTGTCACGAATTACATGTATTATATGAAGAGGAAAAAATGTTCTTATTGGATGAAGAACATGGTCATTTAGGATATATAATACCTCCACCCAAAATACTGATTATAGAAATTTCAGGCATGGTGACTGGGTCAGCAGAGGCTATCCTGAGAACATGCACCCAAATCACACAGGGAAGGTCATCATTGCCATCTCAGTCTCAACAGGTGACATTCCAGTTCTATTCAGAAAGTTGGAAACACAGCTATGCGAAGAAAAGATAAATATCAGATACCTGTTCTATATAGCATAACACGGCACTACCACCATGATCTATCCTTAAGGGAAAAACAGTATGAAAACATTTATAGTAGCCTAGATTAATGCAGGGGGCAGTGGTGGTTCTGTGGTGGAATTCTTGCCTTCCACTTGAGAATTTCTGGCCGCTGCGCCTCATGCACAGCCACCACCCACCCAACTGTCAGTGGAGGCTTGTGTGTTGCTGTGATGCTGAACAGATTACAGTGGAGCTTCTAGATTAAGATGGACTAGGAAGAAGTCTTGAGAATCTACTTCCAAAAATCAGCCAGTGAAAGCCTTATGGATAACAGTAAGATCCGCAACTGATCGTGGCACAGGAGTGGGCAGCATTTTGTTCCATTGTGCATGGGGTCGCTATGCGTTAGAGGCCAACTCAACAACAGCCAGCAAGAAGAGATGAATGCAAAATTTGCTAAAGAAGGGGATATGGTAAAGTGTGTGTGTGTGTTCCATTAAAATGCCTTTTCCCATGTTTCCTTTAATATACTTAAAGGATATTAGCATGACAAAAACTGAATATAAATTTTCAAATAAGCGTGATGATTTGGAATATTTTGATTCAGACCTGTTAAACTAGTCACAAAACTTTGAGAAAGTCCACATACCAATTCAGTTGCTAATACAATTCACTAAGTTCTAAAATATGAATTTCAAGGTCTGCACCATTCACTCTACTAACCTCACTAGCTAAATCTGAAGCTTTTTTGGCCCGCTGTATTTCAAGGGTGTCAGTGCCAACTTGCATTCCCCTCCCTTTAATCATTGACTCCAGGTCTTTCTTGTATTCTTTCTGTAAAAGGCAACATTACAAAACATTCAGATACTCTGTGGACAAACACATATCCATATTCAATGAAAGTGAAAAATGGTTAAACATATTTAAAAAACAAAGAAAACATAACTCATCTTGTGCTATGAATGATCACCTAGAAACTAAATTTTCTGAACTGCTCAGAACTATAATCTCTATTCTCACTGAAAAAGGGAATATAAAGCTCTGAAGATTTTTGCTATAAAAAGGCAGCTGCCAAAGCTTGAATCTTCACTGACAATTATGTTGGGGCTGGGAGCTGGGTGCCAGGGAGGGGGTTGTAAATAGGTTGATGTGAGAGCAGTAAGACTAACTTTGAGGCCAGAGCATTCAATAGCTGTGTGATGCTAGGAATGTTTCTTAACATTTCTGAGCCTTGGTTTATTCATCTAAAAATGTGGGTAATAATACCTCCATGCAGGATCACTGTGAGGATAAATGAGAAAGCATACAGCGTAGTGCCCAGCTCAGAGTGGGAACTCAGTAACTGAGAGTTTATGCTGATCTTTCATTGCTATATACCACAGCCGTCCTTCCTTCTGTAGTTGCTGTTGTTAGGTACCAATGAGTCAGTGCCAACTCATAGCCGCCCTACGTACAACAGAACGAGACACTGCGGGGTCCTGCTCCATCCTCACAATCGTTGTTATGCTTGAGCCCATTGTTGCAGCCACTGTGTCAATCCATCTTGTGTAGGGTCTTCCTCCTTCTTGCTGACACTCTACTGTACCAAGTATGATATCCTTCTTCAGGGACTGATTCCTCCTGATAACATGTCCAAAGTACATGAGGTGAAGTCTCACTATCCTCTCTTCTAAGGAGCATTTTGGCTGTACTTCTTCCAAGACAGATTTGTTTGTTCTTTTAGCAGTCCATGGTATATTCAACATTCTTTGCCAATACCATAATTCAAAAGTGTAATTCTTCTTCAGTCTTCCTTATTCATATTCTAGCTTTTGCATGCATGAGACAATTGAAAATACCATGGCTTGGGTCAGGTCCTCAAAATGACATCTTTGCTTCTGAGCACTTTAAAGAGGTCTTCTGCAGCAAATCTGCCCAATGTAATACATCATTTGATTTCTTAGCTGCTTCTTACATGGGTGTTGATTGTGGAGCAAAGTAAAATGAAATCTTTAACAACTTCAATCTCTTCTCCGTTTATCATGATGTAGCTTATTGATCCAGTTGTGAAGATTTTTGTTTTCTTTATGTTGAGGTGTAATCCATACTGAAGGCTGTAGTCCTTGATCTTCATCAGTAAGTGCTTCAAGTGCTCTTCACTGTCAGCAAGCAAGGTTGTGTCATCTGCATATCGAAGGCTGTTAAGAGTCTTCCTCCAATCCTGATGAAGCATTCTTCTTCATACAGTCCAGTTTCTCAGATTATATGGTGAAAGGATACAACCCTGACATACACCTTTCCTAACTTTAAACCGCCCCGTATCCTCTTGTTCTGTTTGAACAACTGCCTCTTGGTCTATGAACAGGTTCCACATTAGCACAACTAAGTGTTCTGGAATTCCCATTCTTCACAGTGTTATCCATAATTTTTTATGATCCACACAGTCGAATGCCTTTATATAGTCAATAAAACGTAAGTAAACATCTTTCTGGCATTCTCTGCTTTCATCCAGGATCCATCTGACGTCAGTAATGATATCCCTTGTTCCACGTCTTCTTCTGAATCTGGCTTGAACTTCTGGCAGTTCCCTGTTGATGTACTGCTACAACCACCTTTAAATGATCTTCAGCAAAATTTTACTTGTGTGGGATATTAATGATATTGTTCAATAATTTCTGCATTCTGGTGCATCACCCTTCTTTGGAATGGGCACAATTGTGGATTTTTTCCAGTTAGTCGGCCAGGTAGCTGTCTTCCAAATTTCTTGGCATAGACAAGTGAGCACCTCCAGAGATGCATCCGTTTGTGGAAACATATCAATTGGTACTCCGTCAATTCCTGGAGCCTTGTTTTTCACCATTCCCTTCAGTGCAGCTTGGACTTCTTCCTTCAGTACCATCAGTTTTGATTATATGCTACCTCTTGAAATGGCTGAACGTCAATCAATTCTTTTTGGTACAGTGACTCGGTGTATTCTTTCCATCTTCTTTTGATGCTTCCTGCGTCATTCAATATTTTCCCCACAGAATCTTTCAGTGTTGCAACCCAAGGTTTGAATTTTTTCTTCAGTTCTTTCGGTTTGAGAAATGCCAAGTGTGTTCTTCCCTTTTGTTTTTCTAACTCCAGGTCTTTGCACATTTCATTGCGTCTTCTCGAGCCTCCCTCTGAAATCTTCTATTCAGCTCTTTTACTTCATCATTTCTTCTGTTTGCTTTAGCTATTTTACTTTCAAAAGCAAGTTTCAGAGTCTCTTCTGACATTCATTTTGGTATTTTCTTTCTTTCCTGTCTTTTTAATGACCTTTTGCTTTCTTCATGTATGATGTCCTTGATGTCATTCCACAACTCATCTGGTCTTTAGTCATTAGTGTTCAGTGAGTCGAATCTATTCTTGAGATGGTCTCTAAATTCAGGTGGGATATACTCAAGTTCATATTTCAGCTCCCTTGGACTTGCTCTAATTTTCTTCAGCTTCAACTTGAACTTGCATATGAATGGTCTGCTCTGCAGTCGGTCAGTCCCTGGCCTTGTCCTGACTGATGATATTGAGTTTCTCCATCATCTCTTTCCACAGATGTAATTGATCTGATTCCTGTGTATTCCATCTGGCAAGTCCACGTGTATAGTCACCATTTACGTTGTTGAAAAAAGGTATTTACAATGAAGAAGTCATTGGTCTTACAAAATTCTATCATGTGATCTCCAGCATCGTTTCTATCCAAGGCCATATTTTCCAACTACAGAGCCTTCTTTGTTTCCAACTGTCACGTTCCAATCACCAGTAATTATCAATGAGTCTTGATTGCATGTTTGATCAATTTCAGACTGCAGAAGTTGGTAAAAATCTTCAATTTCCTCATCTTTGGTATTAGTGGTTGGTGCATAAATTTGACTAATAGTCATATTAATTGGTCTTCCTTGTAGGTGTATGGATATTATCCTATCACCGACAGCATTGTGCTTCAAGATAGATCTTGAAACGTTCTTTTTGATGATGAATGCGATGCCATTACTATTCAATTTCTTATTCCCAGAATAGTAGACCATATGACTGTCTGATTCATAATGGCTAATACCAGTCCATTTTAGCTCACTAATACCTAGGATACTGATCTTCATGTGGCCCACTTCATCTCTGACAATTTCCAATTTTCCTAGATTTCTACTTCGTATATTTCATGTTCCTGTTATTAATGGATGTTGCAACTGGGTCTTCTCATTTTGAGTCGTGCCACCTCAGCAAATGAAGGTCCCAAAAGTTTTACTCCATCTGTGTCATTAAGGTCAACTACTTTGAGGAGGCAGCTCTTCCCCAGGTGTATTTTCAGTGCCTTCCAACCTGAGGGGCTCATCTTCCAGCAACTATACCAGACAATGTTCCATTGCTATTCATAAGGTTTTCACTGGCCAATTTTTTCAGAAGTAAACTGCCAGGTCCTTCTTTCTAGTCTGTCTTAGTCTGGAAGCTCCACTGAAACCTGTCCATCATGGGTGACCCTGCTGGTATTTGAAATACCAGTAGCATAACTTCCAGCATCACAGCAATACGCAAGCCACCACAGTACAACCAACTGACAAGCCTCAATTTATTGCTGTTCCTGTCACCATCCTGTTATTCAACTGCATTTGGCTGGTCTCCGCCATTGAGGATTTTTCCAAATGTTAGTGACAAGTTATTACAAGATTTTACTCTGAATGTGGACTAAACATATCACCATAACAGAAGAATTTGTAGAGAAGGGATCACATAATGACAACATTAGCCAAAGGCATCACAGTAGACATCTGTTCTTTTCACCAGACCAGATCCATTTCCCCTCTTCTCGCAAAGAGTTCCACAATATTCTTTTGGGGAATCACCTCTCACTGCTCCTAATCCATATACTTTGGGTTGGGTTGATTTCTACCTCCTTTCTACTCCCTATATATATTTTTAATTGTATTAAAGTATTTTTAATATTCCCTCTAACTTATTTAAACTCATTAACATGGCTACGGCTGAATGTAAATTAAAAAAACACACATTAACGATTTAGAATAGTTTATACCTCTAACACTTTGTTAAACTACACAGGAAGTTAACTAAACAAATGAGTGGCCATTAGACCCATACTAGGCCAATTAGCATATTATACTCCCCCACTCTAGGACACAATGATTGGGTCAGGAGTAGGCATATGACTGAGGTTGATCCAATGACATTCTTTAACTGGAGTTATCAGAAAACATGCTCACTGCCCACTGGGATTGCTAGCTGTAGAAATTAGTTATCAAGTTGTTAAAAGGGGCTACCACATGGAAACAGCCTTCCAAGAGTGAAGCCAAAAGAGAAGACAACAACACTGAGTGACGAAAAGAAAGCGAGACAATGACATCACCTGAATTCCAACCTGAAGCAAGCCTAACCTCGAAACTTTTCCATTCCATAAACCAATAAATTTCTTTTGTTGCTTACCACAAGTTAAGTTGGGTTTCTATCATTTTCAACCTAACTAACAGGGTGATCAACATCACCATCACCACAGTAATAACATACAGGGGTGAAACTTTAATTTTCTCATTGCTAAATTCAACTAGATTCCCCTCAAAGCACAAAGACATTATTTAACACCAAAGCGATGATAAAACATAAGGATTAAAGGACTGAAAGCACCTCAGAGATATTTCATTCCTTCTTATAAAGTTCTCATGAAGTAAGCAACAGCCACTTTTGTTTAATAAAGACGTTTGGCTTGGTTCATTCAGCAGTCTAAGCCAGGCCTGGGAGAGTCACTGGATTATGACCAGCAGAGTATGTGAGCTTTATAACTGAGTTGCTGATAGACCATGTCTGCGTACATTCCCAGTCTTCCACCTTCATGTGCTTAAATGATCAAATTCAGTCTTATGGAATGATTTTAGTTTGCATATTATCTACATGGTGCCCTCGTGGCGCAGTGGTTAAGAGCTTGGCTGCTAACCAAAAAGTCAGCAGTTCGAATCCACCAGTCACTCCTTGGAAGCCCTATGGGACAGTTCTACTCTGTCCTATAGGGTCGCTCTGAGTCGCAACTCAATGGCAATGGGTTATTAACTACATATGAATTATTTTCTTATACAGATTTTCTCTAAAATGAGGAAATGGCCTTTTTTTAAAATACTACATAGAAAAGGGATAGTGAGCATCTTTTTTTTTTTTTTTTAATTCACTGACTAGGAAAAGACTGATAGAACACAGCAGCTTGTAATCATCTACACGTAAAAGTTGTGGCACATGTATAATCTATTGGAAAGATTTACAGATAAAGAAATGAGTTGACTATTCATACATTCTAAGTTGTAAATAAATATACTCACCTCACTAGCCATTTCAGATGCTCGTTTTGCTCTTTGAATATCAAGAACTTCTGAATTAAGATCCATTCCTTTCCCTTTTATTTCATTTTCCAAATCTTTCTTATATTCCTTCTATGAGACAAGAATATTACAGTTCAATACTTATTTTATCTGACGCACTGTTTTACATGTTTTCCAGGGATATAGAAGAAAAACATATTTCTAGAAAGAATAAATCAGATTGTTGAGCATCATGCTCCTTATTTCCTATAGAAACTTTATTTTTTCCTCTAATCATGTTTAGAGTGGCTTCCAATATTATCAGTCTTTTTCCTTTTACCCTTTCTTCTGATATGTTTTGGTACCATACTGGATTTTTTTTAAAAGATGCTTTCCTTTAAATGGTAAGGAAGATCTTAGGCATACATGCCTCTTACTATTTGAAATATTTTTTTAAAAACTGTCTATAAAACATGAATCACCCAAAGAACATAGTTGAAAAAGAATAAAAAATTACAAAATCAAAAGGATTGATGTAGCCAAAGTTTTTTTTTTTAATAAATAAGGTTCCATTATATTAAAAAACTTGAAAAACCAAATAATTTCCTACAGATTGCTGATAGAGTTTAGAACTTCATCTCTTTTAATATTTGATTTTAAGTAGATCCAAATGTCCTACATTAATAATTATATATAACTTGCTTTCTTGTTAATTTTGTAATAACTGTTTCTTAGTAACTGCGTTGTGAAAACAATATAAATCTTATTCCCATTCAACTAAGTTGCATTTTAACTAACTTGCCAGATAGAAGATGAAACAAAAAGGTTCATCTCATGTTATTTTCTTTGTCCAGTATAATTAAATTAGCTGGTCCTCTGTTTAACTGATAGCCTACTGGCTATTGCAATAACTTGTATGTAATTTTGGAAAGAGCTCTAGAGTCAAAGGACCGAGTGGAGATCATAGTCCCTTCACTTATTTAGTCATGTGATCTCCAGGAGGACTTTAAGTAACTGAGCCTTGATTTCAACACTGGCAAAATGAAAACAAAAATACTTGCTCTGCCAGTGTCCAAGAGCAATTGGGGGAATCAAATGAAATGAAGAATAAAATGATACTTCGAATGCTCTAAAAAGCAGTGCGAATGTAAAAAACCATAAAGAGAAAACTACATAAAGTCAATTTAAAGCTAAATGCTTCCATGTAGAAAGGAAACTTACAATCAAGAAAAAATGCAACAGCATGTATATTAAAAGTCACTCATGGATCTCAAAATAGATCTCACATTGTCACTTGTATGTAAATGAGGAAACAATTCCCCTTTATAAAAATCATATAAATAGTGCATATTTTTTAAATGGAAAATGACAGTATTAGGAAGTTGCCATTTGATTGAAATGATAGCTATATTTGACCTCCAACCCAGGGAGAAAACAATTCTCATTATAAAACTTGATATTATCAGTAGGGGTGAAAAATTCTACTGGACTTGAACCAGAGGGTCCCCAAGAGAAAGGATGTAGATGATTTTTTGCTTCCTGACCATCCCATTCCTCAAATGACAATGTTTCAGCTTTCGGAAAATTTATAGGAACTGAAAGTGAGTAAATGTAGAGTAGCAAGAGAACTCTTTCATAAACTACATGTCTATTTCAGCAAACATACAAACAACAGTGAATCACATTAAATTTCGAAAGGCAGTTAGATGGTAAAGGCCAGTTGCCATTTTCTTATTAAAGAAGTTCATGATCACACAACTCTATAGAGCTTTAATTATATCCTAATTTATTTCACTGGTTTAAGACAATTTTTTCAGGAACAGTTTCTTCAGTTCAAAAATTCATGATGAACTGAAGTCGTCTAACGTTTTCCCTTAACGTAAAGATAATCTCGTCAAGCAGTTAGAAGACATCCAAGCTATTTTTCAGCCATTGAAAGAAAACTCTTAAAGGGATGGACTGTGAGCATGATTATGTTTAAATGTTGGATTTGAGGGCTAATAGTCAACAAATGTAATATATTAATTGTGAGCCTAAATGCAGCTTTAAATTTGGAAGTAAAATCCCCTTGAGAATAAATTAAAATGAAAAAATGAATATGTGTTCCTATGTTCTGTATGCTAAATATATTATTTTCCCTTGTTAGAACATAAACCTTTTATAAATAATGTACCATTTTTCTAGACCTTCACATGTGATCACCTCATTTCCGATATCAAATGTCCACAGAGAATCTGCAGAAAAAGCTGGTTCTTATATACATTTTTACAATACCACAACTTGAAAGAAACAAGCTTGCCCCACCTATATTCAAAATATTTTTTAAAAACTAACTCCTATAAAGCTATAAAACAAACTACTTATAAAACTTCTGAACTACAGCCAAAGTATAAAATCAGAATATATATTTTTCAAGTTCTTCCATAAAATCTGGATAATTTCTTCCTGCAACTGTAAATGGAAACATTAACACACATTTTCCTTTTTTTATGAAAATACAAAACTTTATAAGTAAAGGTCAAAATAAGAGGAAGAGTTAAGGGGTTAATATCACAAACACCGAGTTTGTTGAGAATTGTTAAGAATAAATATTTCCTAGGTTTTTTATTTACTTCTCTTTTGAGACCTCTAATAATAAACAGAAGGATCATACCTCCTTCAGAAGGTTGGTGATGTACTTTACATGTAAAAATTCTGGAGTCTTGTCTAAATCCAATGATGACCTTCCTTTAATTTCCTTCTCAAAATTTTCTCTGTAAACTTTCTATTAAATAAAACAACATAATAATTTTAAATTTAGGAAATATTAGTGACAAATGAAAGGTATTAAAACAAGAGTTCCCAGAACAACAGAAAAATAATTCTGGATTTTTCATAAGTAATAAACAATTCTGGGTTTATCATAAAGTCTAGAATTCAACCAAACCGAAGTCAAATCATCAGGTCCTCCCTCCCTCTGGCATAGCATTCTGAGTGAGGCTGCTTGGCATCTTAATTTGTCTGTGAATATTTAACATCATGATATTTTGGGAAGAGAACCAATCAAATTGGCTATCTGATTGGGTCACCTACTTAGTTCACTCAAAAGGGAAGCAATCCAGTCAGGGGGTGAAACCACCCACTGGAAGAAAATCTGGTGGCACAGAAGCCTGGGCAAACCAAAGTAGCATGTCCCCACCATCTCTCTCTCTCTCTCTCTCTCTCTGTCAGGCCATTTCTAAAATGTAATGGGGGCTGAGGAGGTGGTTATTTTCCTTTAATGAATTTTTACCATTGAGAATGTTTTTCTACAATCTATGGAGTTTAATATGAATTAAGTTACATTGCGAGGAGAATCTTATCTCGAACCTGATATATGGTTTTTCAGGTACATTCATAACAAGAAATGAAAGGGGACTGCTGACAGTGACTGCAGAAGGCTTAAATCCACACCCCTCCCTGCCCCTTTGACACTGTTTGCCACCTTTCAGCTATGGGTCTCTAAATTCTGGCCTTTGAGCTAACGATTTGAAAATCAATGGCAATGCATGCTTTATGACTATAATCTCTCAAAATTACAAAAGTATCTGTTCATGTGCAATTTACCTGACAAACCCAAAAAAACCAACTGCTGTCAAGTTGATTCCGACTCATACCTACCCTATAGGACAGAGCAGAACTGCCCCATAGTGTTTTCAAGGAGCAGACTGCCACATCTTTCTCCCACAGAGTGGTTGTAGGTTCAAACCACTGAACTTTTGGTTAGCAGCTGAGCACCTAATCACTGAGCAACCAGGGCTCCTACTTGACAAACAAGGGCCCAAATTTTACCAGCCAAGTATTTTATTCAAATTGCATCATAAAGATGATAAAAACGAATTCTGCATGAGATTTTCATTAATGCAAAGTGGGAAGTTATTTCCAGGCTCATTTCACACCTATTACCAAAAAGAAAAAAAACCAAACCTGTTGCCATCAAGTCGATTCCAATTCATAGCGACCCTATAGGACAGAGCAGAACTGCCCCATAGTTTCCAAAGAGCACCTGGTGAATTCAAACTGCCAACCTTTTGGTTAGCAGCCATGGCTCTTAACCACTATGTCACCAGAGTTTCCATATTTATTACAGAGGTAGGTAATATATAAATAGATTTTCAAAACCATGAGGATAAGAGAAGATTGTTGTCGCCTCACTTGATACTTGACATACAGTTATTTGACAAATAATGTGTGTAAAGCCACAAAGAAAGGCCACGTGGGTAGTTTGTAAATACTAAAGTCTAACAAAGCTAATAAGCTGTACTGAGAACATCCTGAATGAAAGGATATACAGATACACCAAAGAACAATGATGAGAAACTGTCTTCTTTATGTGGAACTAAGCAAGATAATAAAAGGCTGAATACAGGGAATCTCCAGATTTCAAATGTGTGTGTGTATATAGCTAACTAATTAGCTAGACAGACAGACAGATGACAGATTTAAATCAGATATTTCATTTAAAAAATCTCTTCTCTGAAAAATACTATTTTACTGAAGAAAGTCATTAAGGAAGGTTGATCATGAACTGGAACTGACCAATATATAAACAGAAAAAGCAAAAATCTTTGGTCTGTTTTTTGAAAGGAGAGCTATATTTGTGAAACAAGACAAAAAAAATGTTAAAAGCCACTTTTAGAGATTTCCTCTAAAAAACACACTGAACACATATCTGGCATAAAAAGAAAGTGAGATAAGCATAATTAGAGGCCATTACAAAAACAGTAGTGGCTTTTCACGAGATCATATTTAGCTTTACATGTTATGAGGGTCCTCAAGAACATTACAGTTAAGTCTACCTCTTAAGAATAAAAACCACCTCTAAGATAGACGGTTCTCTTTGTATCTACTTTATTGACCCTATATTTAATGACAACTTTCACATCACATTTGTCTAAGTTTTTTTTAGCATTTAGAGTATAAACTTGGTCCAAAGCTATTTTCTATTTGAAGATCTCTCTCTTCAAGCCCTGCTGAGCAAAACTGTAATTGCCAAGCCTAAAAAGCTAATAGCCAATGGCTATAATTAAAATGAAAACACATCTCACCATTTACAAAGGGTAATTCACTGCTGTGACAATACCAGAAAGCAGAATAGCAAAAATTAAAAGCCAATATTAACAAAAGGCTCACAGGAGTTCCAATTTAAATTAATCCCCCAACATACAACAAAATGTACAACCACTGTTAAGCATTAAAGCTATTTATACCTGTACTATTTACACCTGTCGAAACAGCCGATCAAAAGCAATTAATTCATTCACTTGACTTTTTTTTTTAAATTTTCCTTTTGTATCATGTAGACAAGTAACAGTAAAAACAAACTGCTAGTCACATTGGACTTTCAAGATCTACATAAGGATGCATATATATGCAGAAACCATAGCTCTTTTTTCAGTGCTAAGAGTATCTTTAAAAGTTACTACCAGTTAGGATGGTGAAATTCGGCTTGGGTAATCTTTTTGCTTTTGAGGGTCCATTCACAATGGAAAAAAAAATTAGCTGTGGGTTTTATGCAAATAAAGGCAACTTGGTCTACTTTGTTTGTCCAATGATTCTTTGAGAAACAGAAGGACATGATTTTTATGGTTTTAAGTTTCGAGAATATTAGATTCCTTCAATGAGTTAGTGCTTCTCAAAGTGTTGTCCCAGGGCCACCTACATCAGAAGCTCCTGCGATACTTGTTAAAACATGATTCCCAGGCTCTACAGCAAGACCTAGGTGGAGCCCTGGTGGCACAGTGGTTAAGAGCTCAGGCTGCTAACCAAAAAGGTCGGCAGTTCAAATTCACCAGCCTCTCCTTGGAAACCTTATGGGGCTGTTCTACTCTGTCCCATAGGGTCGCTATGAGTCGGAATAATCAACTTGATGGCAACAGGACTGCACAGCAAGACCTACTGAAGCACACTCTCCTGAGGCAGCAACCTGGGAATATGCATTTCAAACAAGCTTCCCAAGTAACTTATCCACAGAAGAGTTTGAGTACCACCTCCACAAGGGATAAAGGGGAAAAAAAAAAAAAAACCATTACCAATGAGTTGATTTTGACTCATAACAACCCTATAGAAGGAGAGAGGAAATATGATAGTCAGAAGAGAAAGTATAGAGAATCAAACAGAAGGAGAGAGAAGAAGGGAATGCTCCCCACTCTGTGAATAAGACAATGAAAAGTGTAACACAAATACTAAAATAACAACGGCCTGGGGCTGCATAGAAGAAAACTGTAAAAGTTCAGTATCTCAATAAAGTAGGAGGCATGATTATTGGTGAAAACCCAGGGACCAGGAGCAAGAGCTGGACAGTGAAACCTAAATATAGTTCAGAATCTGGAGGCTCAACAGCTAAGTTTAAGTCCCAGCCCCACGACTAGCCAACAACACTACCTTGGCTAAATTAAATGGCTTAAACTCCTTAGCCCTAAGAAAGGGATGATCAGACCCCATTTCACAGGGTGGATCTGAAGTTCAAAGTGAAGAGGAAAGCACAGTTAAGTCAGAAAGAAAATAGCCTGGGAAAACCAAAGGGTCCAGGAAGTTGGCATCATCTTAATGACAAAGGGCACATTCAGCAGGATCGAGAGAATAAGTTGGGTGAAGAAAAGAGAGACTACCTTGAAAGATGGGGATTTAAAATCTCAGATCATAAAATAGTTATTTGTAAATCATAAACTCTGTATTAGAGTATATTAATCATGAATTATAAGTTCCAGGATTTGCTGATGAGAGGAAAGTAAACCAATTACAGTAGGAAAAAACCAAGGAACCACGAGGCCAGAAAGATAAAGGGGTCTTCAGCATGGGTATATATGTTATTCAAGATCAAAGAGCAGGGAAAGAGATAAGCGGAGATGGAGGCTTGAGAGGGCCTGGGTAAGATTAGGGCAAACCTGAAAGGCTGATACCACCCTCTTGAACCTGTTTTTAGAACAGCGAAGTAATTTTTGATCCCTATGTCTTCCATACAGTCTTAAACTTCCAGAGAACCAACTAAGTGAAAGCACCACAGCAGCTCATGAAAGTAGAAATATTTCTCTGGACTGTAGAGCAGTGACAACTGCCACATTATTCCTCTAAAACAGGGTGAAATGAATTGGAAATCTGTCTCTTGCCCCTGCCAAAGTACTCACTGCAATGGAAGAAAACAAAGAGGATGTAGAGGATGTGTTCCCTGGTGGTGTAAACGGTGAACACACTCAGCTGCTAACCAAAAGGTTGGAGGCTTGAGTCCACCCAGAGGCACCTCTGAACAAAGGCCTGGTTATCTACTTCCAAAACATTAGCCATTGAAAAGTCTGTGGAGCACAGTTCTACTCTGACACACACGGTCACTGTGAGTAGGGGTCGACTAGATGGCAACTGTTTTTTTTTGTTTGTTTGTTTGTTTTAATTTAAAGGATGTGTTCTCTAAATGCAGACAAGTTCTCCCATTAAAAGACTAATTTAGTTAAAATACTTACCTGACTGTTCTTGGTCAAATTCTCCTTTACAGGCTTAAGAAGGTAAGCCACATGAAAAACAGAAGCTATTATTTTCTCTTCTCTTGAAGATTAAATTAACCAACTTTGACCATTAAACAAGCCTCAGTAATACCTGTATGCCCTTTTCTCAGGAAGATGAATTACAATATTTCAACGAAAAATGGAAACATTTTTGTCCAGAAATCAAACTTTCCCCGTTTCAAAGATGTTATTTGAGAATAGATGGTCATGGAGCATAAAACCAAAAATCAAACCCGTTGCCAATGAGTTGATTCTGATTCATAGCGACGCCATAGTACAGAGTAGAACTGCCCTATAGGGTTTCCAAGGAGCAGCTGGTGGATTCCAACTGCTGATCTTTTGGTTAGCAGCTGAGCTCTTAACCCGTATGCCACCTAGAGTGAAGCAATGGGGCTGCAACTGATACTGTTTTTGCTGTTGTTAGGTGCCTTCAAGTTCGGTTATGACTCATAGCGACCCCGTGTACAACATGTACATAGACCACTGAAACTACTACCCACTGTTTTTGTCCTTCAAAGTAGCAGCCCATTGTATCCACAGAATTTGGGTGGGGGCTGCAGACAAAACAGACCCCCAACAAGTGGGAAAAAAGAAAAAAAAAAAAAAGAACAACAAATCTCACTGAGATAAAGAAAAACCAGTGTGGGGAATAGCTGGATGTTACTTAGCATTATTTTAAGTAGAAAATAAAATGGATAGGTAGAAAATACTCTTAACAAACTCTGCCTTTGATGTTTTAAAACTTCTATGTTACTTTTTTTGGTGGGTGGGGGCATAGGGGAAGGAATTGATTAAATAATCTAACAGAGATAAGGGAATAATTCATAATTTTGACCAGGACCTAAAACATTGGCATTTACTGAATGTGTACTTTTAGCTAAGACACTTGATTTCGGTGGATGCATTTATAAATTTTGGGATGATGCCTACCTAGCTTCATCATTCTGATGATTAAATAAGACGACGTATATAAAGTACTTAGCATATCACCTAGCACAGAATACATATTTGCTAAATGTTAGTTCCACTATCACTGCAAAAAAACCAAAAAAACAAAAAAACCCAGATCTTCATTTTCTTTCTAGTTTTTATCTACTCATCATAGTTTTATACTGATACAACTTGAAGCATCAATTTTATAATTATGGAATGTTAGAGCTGAGAGAAACTTTAAGAGCTCATCTGGCCTGGCATCCCAATTTTCCAAATGAGAAAAAGTAAGGGACAGAGAAACCCAATGACCTGGACAAGATCCTCAGCAGTGGTGTGCTTGGTCTAAGCTGCAGATCCCTGAACCTTCCCAGCTTTGTGTTTTCCTCTAGACCCACTGGGCATTCAAAATCACGTTACTGTTCCTTTCAAATGAAAAAAAATCAACTATGTGTTAAACAATTGATAACAAACCAAAGTGACCCACCTCACTTTGCATCTTTTGAGCCTCCCTTGAAGCTTGATAAGATGGTGTCTCCACAAATTCAAGCATTGATTTTCCCTTGTTTTTTTCATATTTGTCTTTGTATTTAACCTTGATTGAAAAAAGTAGAAAACATATATGAATCTCAAAAGTCTTTATATCAATAGAGCAACGTAAAATAAATATACATCTAAAATTAATCATCCTATTTTTTAAAATCAATATTCTGACCATTTAGGTCAGTCACTGGGTTCCCCAGGGTTAATGTCATACAAAGAAAGTAAGCAGGTAATATATAAAATTTCCTGAGGTGATAAAAATAATTTAGAACTACTAAATAATGTAGTTCTAGGCCTTATATATTTTATCAAATAGCTGGGCTTATCTTGAGATATATAGGCAACATGGATATAGTTAAGCAAACAGATATATCCCTGTGATAGCTTCAAGTATCTATTAGTAAATCATAAACAAGAAGGAAAACATGGGAGTGATTCTCTTTTTGTCAGACAAAGGGGAGGACATTTTCTGGGATGTTGAATTTTTCTACATACACTAAATAAAACACAAGGACAGAGCTTTTATGTGATTTCTCTCAGTTTCACTATGCATTATTTAATAATATATCATGAATTATTTATTTCGATTATAATCAATCTTCATCTTATTTGAGCTTATAAAATGATTGATATTTTCTATCAACTAATACAAAAAAGGAAACCCTGGTGGCATAGTGATTAAGAGTTCGGCTGCTAACCAAAAGGTCGGCAGTTTGAATCCACCAGACGCTCCTTGGAAACCCTACGGGGCCAGTTCTACTCTGTCCTATAGGGTCGCTATGAGTTGGAATCAACTCGACGGCAATGTTTGTTTCTTTTAAATAATAATAAATAAAATTATATGTAAGCTGCCAGAATAGTGGGCCTTTTTGTCATTTTTTTTTAATTAATCTCACAGAAAAGCTTTTATCATGATCCATTTCATTCAGAAACATACTTTCATTAAGATTCTAATGTTTAATAACTATCCAATAATTTGATCAGCTGTACACTAATAATAATGACAATTCAATCCAAAAGAAATTTTTCAATACTTGAACCTTGTGGTAATACAAAATATAACAAATTATAAACTTTCTATTTTTGTTGCAGAGAAGTATAACACAGTGAACAATGAAAGGGCTTAAAGCATAAAAATATAAAAAACACATTAGGATACAATTCTGTGGAAAAAGTAGAATGAAAATATGAATTCAAAGAGAACAAAAATCATGTCAATTTCCAAATTCCAAAGGAGAGTTGATTTGTATATTTTTAAAACAAATGAAGCGGATATCAAATCATTATGGAATTTATGTTTCACAGGATACATTTAAAAGAGTAATGCAAAATGCTATCTTAACAGATGCTGGAAATGACATGTTTTTCAACTATTTAAATTTGGGATTAAAAGAATTAGATATCAACTTCAAAAAGTGTGTTAGGAAAAATATATTTTTATAAAAACTTTTCAGTGGGTACACTGAATTTTATAGTTGGAAGGGTCAAAAGTCAAGAATACACTGATAAGATTGTTTTTCCTTGCTAATAACGCTTATAATTCAACCTTGTATCTGGAAAATTAATTTTCATAAGATTTGACCACTGTTTAATCAATTCCTATACTGTAAGTTTTTAACTATGAAGTAAGTTATTTTATGAAATGCCTTTATATTGAAATGTGACTCATGCTACCCTGACCAAATAAATATATAATAAATAGGGTTTGAGGTTTTCCAAAGCACTGTTAACTTTCTCAGGATGCACATTCTTTTGAGCGCTATATATTCTCCACTTAAGAGGTACAGCACAGTGAACAGTGGGCGTCAGGGTGGGTTCCAAGGTCCTGGTTGAGAAGGTGCATACACTACCCATGTGTACCTGGCTCTGGAGCGTGGCATTGCCTTTATGGTGCAGGTGTTCTGCAGCGTCCATGTCAAAATGATACAGTCCTCTATTTTCCTCAAAAAGCTTTTTATATTCTCGCTAAAATATAGAACATGAAAATAAATTTAGAGTGAAAGATGCTAACTGATCAGAGCAATTACTACTTAGGAAGACAAACTGAAAAATACAAGTCAAAAAGAGCTGCAAAGCTGTTATTAAGTAACTATCAGTAGTCCACATATGAGATTTCTGAAACGGAGATAAATAGAAAACGTAAGATAAACCAGTTTTATGTAGTCAATGTGAACAGCATATAAAACACTCAAGCTAGGCAGAGGACAATTAGCAGTACACACAACCTAGAAGATAATCATAACACCAAGCAGTGGCAACAGAAAAGCAAGTGATGGGACTCATGATAATAAGCAAGGTGGCGAAATAAAGGCAATTTGTCACACCCCATCATATAACAGGAATGCTTTTAATAGCACCTACAAGAAGAGAAGGAATCCCTGGGTGGCACGAATGGTTCAACTACTAGGCTAAAGGTTGGCAGTTTGAACACACCCAGAGGTGCTTCGGAAGACAGGCCTGGCAATCCGCTTCCAAAAGGTCACAGCCTCGAAAACTCTAGGGAGCAGTTCTATTCTGCAACACATGGAATCACCATGAGTTAGAATCAACTGCAGCAACTAACAACAACACAAGAAGGGAAGCGAAGAAAAGAGGAAAGAACAGAGGAAAGGAAAAAGCTGGAGGCAGAGAAGAAAAGATTTTATAAGAAGTCTCAGCCCTGAGAAAGATTAGGGGGTCACAAGGAAAATAGAGGGTAAGAAACAATTCAACCAATTTTCCTAAAAGGAAAGAGTAGCAGGCACCTAGGAGGAAAATTGAGTAATTTGTTGTATTTTTAAGATGGATAAACTGGAATAAGTTTACTATTTAGACATGCAGACAAAAAGGTGAATTTGGAAGAGATTGGGATAGATAAAGATGACAAGTTTGGCAGCTGTAGGGCTCTAGGTATAACAGGCAGCAGCAATAAGACATGAATTGCTTCACTGGAGATTAGACAATTTGTTATTTTGTCCTATTTGGAAAAAAAAATTAGAGGTAAATGGTAACTCTCAAAGACTCAAGGTTACAGAGACTTAAGCTAAAGTTGGTTGCTCATCAGACATTGAGGGCTTGGGTAAAAAACGGCAACTTTCAATACAGGGAAGGACACATAAGCAGCATTTGAAAGGGAGCAAAAGAGAGCGGGAAAGAGCTGGCGATAAAGAAATTTAAATGTGGGTCTCAGGCGATGCTCCAGGGATCTGCGAGTGGAAAGGGACGAAGGTTTGACATGTGGGATGGGAAGGATGGAAGGTAAGAGTGATCTGTCACACAGAGTCTGGCTTCAAAGTGCTTTCAATTGATTATAGAGCTAAGATATGCGCTCCCCAAAATTTTAACCAGAATAAAGCAAGGGAGAAAAGTGGCCTAGAAAAGTGATAAATTTGTTTATATATTAAAGAGATCAAGTTCTGAATTACAGCTCCTCCAATAGTTAAAAAAAAAGAATCTCAAATGATAACAATATACTTAGATGCTTTATAATTTAATTAGAAGTTATTTATTGCATAATATATATTTATAAAATAATCATGAATGGAATGTAACAAACCATAACATATCCCATTTCTGAGTTAAAATCCAGAATTAATAAAGACTTGGATATTACGTCTGGAATAGTGGACATATACTGAGAAAAGGTCAATAAATATTGTCCTCAACACAATTATCTATTTTAGTTACAAAGAATTTCAGAAACTCCTTTAAAAAAAAAAAAAAAAAGACTCATTTGAACTAAGATCTGCAAACAAAATTTTCAATACTTGCTTTTTCCTATATAATAGTCTCTGTTGCCTCCTAGTGGGGGTTACACAAAGTAACACTATATATATATGCTTTTTATTTTATGTAAAGTTATAAAAGAAACTAAAACCAGGCTAAAAAATTTTTTTCTTCAAAAATTTAATTAGTTTGGCTATATAAGGCACGAATTTCACTCTACACACAACATGTTAAAATAAAAAGAATTAGAACCTATACCAAATTCATCTAGAGATCATTAAAACAGGCATTTATAACGAACTACCCCCTAACTTTGGTAAGATGACTATTTATTGAGCAATTTTTGAATAACATTAAGTTGTCTTTATAAATCAACAATATCCCAACCCTTCAGAGATTAAAATTTAAAAGGCAATTTTAATGTACAATAAATTTGAGCCAAGTTATTATTGTACAACTTTAATAAGCAGATATTTCAGAGTAACACATTTTTAAAGTCTAAATCTTTCTCTCCCATGAAATAAACATTCAGGCATCATTTTTCCATGGAGGAAAAAACCTGTGATCTAGGCAAAAGCATCACTTGGATGAAGATTTAAATTTCATAAATAAAACATAAAATAAATGTATACTATATGACTTTTGGTTTTGTTGGGTTTTCTCTTCTGAAGATATGATAGAAACAATGTTACTCTGTGATTTTTTTCACCTTTATTATATTAAAAAAAAAAAAAACAGGTCAACATCCTTGAAAAGAAATATTGACTCTCTGGAAACATGGAGGCTGGATTAACCCCCAAAACTATTGCCCTAAAATAATTTTTAAATCTTAAATGAAAAATAGACCCTAAAGTCTTTTAAAACCAAATAATAGTTTATCTTAACTGGTAAAGAATATCTGCCTTGAGCATGTTGTGCTCTTCTAAGAACTATCTATATGAGATCAAATTGACTGTTGCAACTCAAAAGATTAGATCGGGAATTTAGGGGCAATAAGTTTATGTTAATGGGAGAGGAACAATTCAGAAAAGCAGGGTGAGAATGGTTGCACAACTCAGAAAATGTAATCAGTGTGACTTAATTATACATGTAGAAATTATTTAATTGGTGTATGTTTTGCTGTGCATATTCTCAATAACAAAAATTAAATTATAAAAAATTTGAAAAGGAAGTATCACCTATGAATGGCATGCATTCTCCCAGCTACCAAATTTTTAATTATCACACTGCTATTTTATTGACTTATTTATACATGAAGCCCTCATGTCCCTAGCAAACTTAACCCCAGTATATATGGGGAACAGCCAAAGGCAAACATCATTGGATCAACAGATGAGGGCAATGATCAGAACTAGATGTCAAGACATGAAGAAAGCAGGGGCCTCAGAGAATAGAATTATATCAAGTTTTAGAAGCATGCCTAGGAGTCGGGGAGAAAAGCATGAAATTGAAACAGAGACACTCACGGAATAAAGGAATGTGTACAGAGGTGTAGCAATAAACATTAAAATGGCAGTGCAACATGATTTAAGTGTCCTAGAACTAAGTGCTAATTCTGGACCTGTCAGTAACCCTCTAACCTTCATTCCCTGCTCAACAGACTGGAAAGAATGACACGCTGCCTTCAGCAAGGACCAGTAACAAAAAATAAATAAATAAATAAGCTCCACAAGTATGAATTATTTACATGCATAATACCTTTCAAGAAGGATGGCAGTGGTGGTGATGGAGAAAGGAGGATTACAAAATAATGAACACAAGTTTCAATATATCAAAGCCAAGTACAGATGTTTCTCAAACTGAACTGAAGCTCTATCTCATTATTTAATAATTTGGGAACTAGGTTTTGACTACAGATTTTTAACTCCATGACTGCGGGCAGGTCTACATAAGACACTTACAGGTAGTTCTCGACTTACAACATATTCGAGTTATGATGAACAACTCCTATTGTCTTCTTTTTGTAATCTTAACCCTTAGTAATATGTACTACATACAGTGTTGCAGCGCGTAATTTGCTGATGTGATCATTCTCAGATGTTCACTCACAGATGCTCAAAGATCGGATTTATAAAGATGCTGATAATAAAAGGCAATAATAATGAAAAAAAATTATGTATTTGACTTACGTCAAAACCGACTTAAGACGAAGTTGTTGGAAAAGAAATCCGTCTTAAGTCAGGGACCACCTGTACAGTGAAACCTGTGAGAGCTAGAACTCAGTGGGACTGCCTTGTTTTTTCTGGATCTCGCAAGTTTTCTGTCCTTGACGAGGTACAGTCTTACCACTTTTCTATCACTCTGTATTAATGGAAAATATTTTAGTTTTCCTTCCCTGACAGGTTTCTGCCTTACGCAGGTTCCAGTTTTCACAGGTTTTACTGAATTTTCACTTATTTACATTCCTTGTTCAACATCTATTTTTCCATCTGACCTGTGCCTGGCCCAAAGCAGATGTTCAAAACAATGAGTGAGTGAGTGAGTGATTATTAAAACAGGCATGGAAATAACTTGAGGTCAAATTAGAGTTCATCATAACCATGGTGTTCTGAGATGTACAAACTGGAGCTACAGGTGACCAGGTGTCATCATATATGAGAGTCAGCAAAGTCAGCCTCCAGATGCATCAAGTAGTTAAAACAACAACCAGGGTGTTAGAGTTCAGACAGGCTGACTGCTCACACAGTATATTCAAATAGTTTAGTCAGATCAGAAAGAAATCGCCTTCCTCTCCTACTTGCGCTGACAGAGAAAGTGGAAAAACATCACAAGACGAAAAACATAGTGCCATCGTACTATAAACACCCTGAGGACTTATTTTCAGAGAAAATACATTTAGGCTAAGACCATTTTTAATTTACTGAAGGCCTATTGAATACCAGACACACTGCTCTAACCTGCATAAAATAAAAGATCCCTGACTTAAGAGGCTGACCTTCAAGAGACTTCAATCTAATAAGGACGAAGAAGGGGGAAAAAGAAAGAGAAACAGAATGCTCGCATAAACACAAGCTTAGTTGTTCAACAGGAAAGTTTTTATTCAAGAGACATTAAAGATCTAGCAAGAATATTCTGTGTAAAGCAGTAACTTTAGTGCAATGTATGCAAGCAAATTACTACTGTTAAATAAATTAGTCATTCAGGGAGCAGTGACACTCCGGCACTCTTAAGGAGCCAGGTGAGGTCAGGAGCACAGCGGTCCTGTTCGCTCCATGGAGCCACATCTACAGTTTCCATACAACCCACTTACATTGCTGAGCATTTTGCTGGCTTTCAAAGCATGGTCTAAAAACAACAAATTTGGGAGATCTGAAACTGGATCGTGCATATCTTGAATGTCTTTCTTGTACTTTACCTATGAAAAGAACATGGAACGAAAGGCCATCTTGGAGAAGAAAGTATGCTTTTGCCTTATATTGTTATTATTTTTAACACATCTTAGAGTACTATTTTGGGAGCCCTGGTGGCACAATGTTTAAGCATTTGGCTGCTAACCAAAAGGTCGGCAGTTCAAATCCATCAGCCGCTCCTTGGAAACCCTATGGGGCAGTTCTACTTTGTCCTATAGGGTTGCTATGAAATTGATGGATGAATTTCCTGGTAGCCACTAGATGGTGCTCATTTACTACTGAATGAGTTTTTAAAAAAAAAAGTTTTTATTTCCAGGGACTTAAAAATATTTTGATAAACCCTTTTCCATATTCAGAAAGAATGATGCTAACAAAATCGTTATTAGAAATATTTTTATAATACCCTTTATATATTCAGAAACAATAATGTTAACAAAATCAAGTAATTAAAAAATATTTTGATAATCCCTTTTACATATTCAGAAAGAATGTTAACAGAATCAAGTAATTTTATCAGAACATCTGCTTTCCAAAAGTAAAGAGAATGGTAGTTTCTTCCTTAGAATATAATATTTCAATTATGTTTTGTGGTGATTTTAGGGCTTTGGAGGTTTTTCATCCTATTGCAATATAAAGCTTTTTTTTCCTTACCAACTGCTTTGGAAATACTAGTAATAATAGTAATAAATGTTAATGACAGCGAACATATCAAGCACTTACTATGTGCCAGGTACCTTTCTAAGCACTTTACAGGTATTAAGTACTAATTTCCACAACAATTGTAGGAGGTAGGTACTTTAAGTATCCCCATTTAGAGATGAAGAAAATGAGGCATGGAAACGTTAACATAAAATATGAAGTGGTAAAGCAGGATTCAAATTCAAATTTCCAGCTTTCAATACAATGCTCCAGGTTCAGTACGTATACTTCATCTCTATCTTCTCTACATCTTTATTTTTAAAAAATCAAATAAAAAGAAATCATTATGATATTTCTAGTGGTCCTAAAAGGCAGAAACACTCATTTCAATTGCTAGAAACAAAACAAAAGTTGACTATTCAACACAAATAACAATGCCTCCTAAACATTAAAGAAAGTAAAATACACTAACTCCCAAGGATATGACAGGAGTTGAAGGGTTTAGATGATTTAACAAAGTAACAGTTCGACACTACTTAATTTCAATATTTAAAAAGGTACACTATATATCTCCTTCCATTATAGAAAAGTGATCACTTATCTCCACTTATCTGTGTTTATACTCTGCCTAATTCTAATAAGGACTTAGAGCATATTGTTTCTTGTAAAATGAAATTTGATTATTTTAAAAAGAGAAATCATATGAAGTATTTCATAGCATTTACACAGAGAGAAAAAAGAAATTATAATCTATTATAAATATTAATTTCTGAAAATTTCTTTATGATAGACCACCATGTACCAGGTAGTACTTTACCATAAACCCACTTTCATGGGCATGACTGGAGCCCTGGTTGGTACAGTGGTTAAGGGCTCAGCTGCTAACCAAAAGGTCGGCAGTTTAAATCCACCAGGGGCTCCTTGGAAACTCTATAGGGCAGTTCTACTCCGTTCTATAAGGTCACTATGAGTTGGAATCGACTCAACAGCAATGGGTTTGGTTTGGTTTGATTTATGAGCATAATTACAAGCATTAACAATGGTCCTAGTCACTAATTTACAATAATACATACTCCTTTTCTGTAAAACTCTATAACCTATGTCTACTCTTGATCAGATATGATAATTTTATTAGTAATACTACTTCTACTTATTAAGTAATCAGTACCATTAATAATGGAGCCCTGGTGGCACAGTGGTTAAGAGCCTGGCTGCTAACCAAAAGGCTGGCAGTTCAAACTCACCAGGTGCTCCTTGGGAACCCTACTGGGCAGTTCTACCCTGTCCTATAGGGTTGCTATGAGTCAGAATGGACTTGACAGCAAAAGGTTTGGGTTTTTTGAGTTACCATTAACAATAAATAATAATACAACATTTAAAAAAAAAAAGCTTTGGGGAAATATGCATCAGTGTTTTCAGTTACAAATTACTTGGAAATTAACATGATCTTGATTAAAACCTGCTGCCATCCAGTCGATTCTGACTCACAGTGACCCGGGTAGAACTGTCCCATAGGGTTTCCAAGGCTGTAATCTTTACAGAAGCAGACTGCCACATCTTTCTCCCATGGAGAGGCTGGTGGGTTCAAACCACCAACCTTTCAGTTAGCAGCTGAGTGCTTAACCACTGCACTACCGGGGCTCCTTTTTGATATTGATTAACTATCAGTAATTACAAAGCAGCCATCCTGAGAAAACAAGAATCAAAAGAAACTGAAAATAATTTTCTGTCAATTACAAGTCGTAAGATACAATGTTAACTTACGTTACTGGCTAGTGTGGCAGCAAGCTGACTTTGCCTAAAAGAGGCACTTTCAAGAGGGTTGTAAAGATGTTTCTTGTCCTTCATTTCATTATCAAATTTCTCTTTGTATTTAATCTGTTATTTTAAAAAAAATAGGATAAATTTAACAGCACATTCATCTTTAAGCTTTAAAAGCAAAACATCTGAATTTTAATTTGATTAAGTGAAAGCTACCTTAAAAGTGAAATGACAGCAAAGCTTAAATGCCTGGTATTTTTCCCCTATAGAGCTTAATTAGGCATAAAAGTTAAAAAAAAAAAAATACTCTACTTGAACATTGATCATAAATGCAATTAGGCATGAATCCAAATCCCATTAAAAAGAATTATGCACTAAAATATCAAGATTTTTAAACGTCAGTTTTCATTTCTGCATTCCTATAATCTACGATCAATTAGAAATTGACACACGAATCTCTTCAAGTCTACCACATTTAGAAAGGGGCTCCAAAATTTGAATATGAATTTTCCTAAAGAAATTACTCCAAATAAAGAAGGGGAGGTGGATTATACCACACTTTTTTTGTTTGTTTTTTCATCATTTTCCTTATCTGGTGTCTGTTTGAAATTTTATTTTTAGGGATTAAATTTTCTGAAATTTCCTAGGTCTATTTAGTGTCATTTTTATTTCTCTGCTCTAACTCTGTGGTTGTATTCACCAGCAGAACCATCTCCAATATTCACTATGAATTATTTTTCTCTTTTCTTAAGTAGCTTTAGGGCAATCGAAGAAAGGACTATCAGTTTACCCTGCAGAACTGTTTTCCCCATAAGTAAAGAAACACATGGATGCATGTTATGATAACTAATTGGAATATAAATACAAGTTCTTCACACATTTAAAAATATCTAGCTACTCACATCCCACACCCCCTTTAATTGCTGTACTCAGGGAAGAACGCTGTGACCTCAAACAAGAAAGTAACCTTTGTTCTCTTATAATATTTTTACAGTATTATAATTCTCACAATATTTTGTTTTCTTACAAAATTCCCATAATACACTTTGATTCATACATCCTAAGGCTCTGCTTTGCATAAGCTTTTATTAAAAAAGCAACTGAGTTTGTGTGTATGGCGATGGAAAAATTGGCAATAGGTATTGGTGATGACTACACACGATTGATGTAACTGGTGTCACTGAATTGTACGTGTAAACGAACATTGAACTGACAAATGTGTTATCTACATTCTTACAATAATAAAAAAATAAAAATAAGCAACCTGGGGATGGCTCAGATTATCCATTCTAATCCAGCTGGTATCAGGGGACACCTGTCTGGTACCAACAAGAGAGGGCTATGAAAATCTTGGTGGGAATACAACACTTGAAAAATATTTCAAGATAGTTTACAGGAGATATTTTCTGAGTGATTCCATTTTTGATCACAATAACTTTCTGATATTAACAATGCTTTATAAATTCCGGCAAAAGCTCATTTATTCTAATTAATTGGAAAGGTCTCTCTAAAGGAAAAATCTGAGCTTTTTATTTTATGTCTTATCAAGAACAAATAGAATCAATTTAATCTTCTTCACAACTTTACATATAAAAGAAAAAAATCTCACAATTGCCATCAAGTTGATTCCAACCCATAGTGACTGCATGTGTTTCAGAGTAGAACTCCACTCCACAGGATTTCAATGGCTGATTTTTGGAAGTAGATCACAAGACCTTTCTTCTGAGACACCTCTGGGTGGATTAGAACCACCAACTTTTCCAATTAGTAGCTGAATGCTTAACTGCTTGCTCCACCCAGGGACTCCCACTTTACACAGTAGCTGGCACAAAAGCGAAGGTTTTCCCTACCTGGTCCACAATTCCTCACTTTGAACCCATATACCCATCTGCCAATGGCACGCTTTGCTGTATTTTAATCACTGGTTTTGTTTCTCTCCTAAGTTTTCAGGGCCTCAAGAGTATTCATTCAACAATTACAGGGGACTCTGTCTTAACTGACCTCCACTTAAATGACATCCTGACTCAGTTTCACCAATACCCTCCACTTACTCACCGATGGCCACAGTGAAGGGAACACCCCCAGCTAATGGTTATTTACATCTAATCAATTAATCCAGCTATGTGATGCTGGCTGGAATCAAATTTCTTTCAGTTATTCATATTCTCCAATCTCAGGTACCATGAAGTGTGTTAATTGTGTTTTAACTAAATAGCAAAACCAGATTATATGATATTTGAATACAGACACCCCACTGGACTGCTGTTGCTAACTTGTAGTTTCCCAGCACAATTACACTAGGAGCAGAGGTCAACAAGTATTACCTGAAAGTTAAAATGACAACTTCTCATCTATTATGACATCTGGCATTTACTCTATCCAAGTAAATTTATATTTCTGAACAACTATAATCAAACCACAGTGTAATGATTCACTCATTCCTTAATTGATTAAACATCAAGCATGAGTTGAGTTCCTACTATAGGGTAGGCACAGGCACAGAGAATGATGATATAAACAAGACACACTCCCTCAAGTGTGGATTCAACACTGGGTGGACTCGAACCTCAAACCTTTCGGTTAGTAGCTGAGTACATTAACCAAAAATATACTACCCCACTTATTGCTAAACTGATTTGAACTATATCCTTCTATTAGATAGAAGGAAATAAGAAACAATTGTAAAAGGAAATGAGAAACAATAGAGATAAAAATAATATATTCTATCTGTATTGTACTTTATAGTTCCCACAGGACTTCATTCACTCATTCAAGAAATATTTATTTAATGCGTACTAAGTGTCAGGTGGAGTCCCTGGGTAGTGCAAACGGTTAATGTTTGGCTGCTGACCGAAAGGTTGGAGGTTAAAATTTACCCAGAGATGCCTCAGAAGAAAGGCCTGGTGATGTACTTCCAAAAAATCAGCCACTGAAAACCGTACAGAGCCCAGTTCTACGCTGACCACTCACAGGCTCATTGATTTGATAGCAACTGGTTGGTTTTTAAGTGTCAGGCACTATGCTGAAGACTGCTGTACTGAAGAGACTTAGGAAGCGAATGATAACTATCTTCAAATATCTGAAAAATCCACTGCCTTAGAGTCAATTTCGACTTATAGCAACCTTATAGGACAGAGTACAACTGCCCCATAGGGTTTCCAAGGCTGTAAATCTTTACAAAAGCAGACTGCCATGGCTTTCTCTCATGGGGCCACTGGAAGGTTTGAACTGCCAACATTTTGGTTAGCAGCTGAGTGCTTAACCACTGCACCATTTGAAAAAATAGGAAAATAGCATTTATGCTAGAAACCCTGGACTGAGTTTTCAAAGTTCTGAGCCCTGGTGGCACAGTGGTTAACAGCTCTGCTGCTAACCAAAAGGTCAGCAGTTCAAATTCACCAGCCGTTCCTTGGAAACTCTATGGGGTAGTTCTACTCTGTCCTATAGGGTCACTATGAGTCAGAATCAACACAGTAGCAACTTTATTTTTTTTTAATTTGTGCTACTGCAGAAGGTAGATTTCGTATTGATGAACAAACTTAAAGTCAACAAGATTTCTGCTGATTATAATGAAAATTTTCTACCAGCTGAGCTGTCCACCAGTAGAACCATCTTATGCTTAAACTTGTTCTTCCCACCTCCTCCCAATTTTCACCTAAATCATTCCTACACGTCCTGCAGTTACTAGCCAAAGTGTTGCTTCTTTTGCAAAGCCCTTCCCGGGCTCCCAAACTAGATTGTTTACTACCGATATCCTTCTAAAGCATCCCAAGTTTACCCTACCACACTTATCACACACAACTATAATAATCTGTAAAGCACTCTGTTCTGTTGGTCTTCCCCATTAGACAGTAAGCCTTATGAAGGCAGGGGCCAGGTCTGTCCTGTTCACCCTTGAAAACCTAGCCCTAGTATAGTGCCTAGTATGTAAGTATCTGGTACAATTGCTGTTTTGTTTGGATGGAGAATCTTGAGAAGGGATACTCCCACTGAAAGGCAGATAGCTTCCATGGTGTCTTCAAATTCTATGATAGCCTTGTAACAGATTCTGATGACAATTTTATTTTTTAAGACTTCTACCACTTTTATGCATTGAGCTATACACATTAAAATTTGAATTTTAAAACGTCTAACCTTTCTCCACATTATTTCTGTAGAGTGTGAGATTCATTATTTAGGAGCATATCTGTCATTTATGTATTTATACGGAATGTAATAATAAGCAAAGTGTTACGAAATTTGTCTTATTCTAACCTTTGGTACTGTGCATGATTTGATTCAAAAGATGCCCAAGGAACAAAAGCAGAAGAGTTTCTCTCATTAACTAATCACAAAGTAAAATAATTGTGTTATATAAACCATGCATTTTCCAGACACTGACACCCAATTGCTTCTTACCTATATCTATCTGTAAAGTTTTCACATAAATCAACTAAGAAAATAACCAAATGGCTTAAATAGGTCACATCTCCCACCTCCTGATCAGTTCACTAGGTATACATACACACACAACATCCTATTTTCAACCTACAGTTACGAACATCTGAGTATCTGCCTCCTCAATAACACCGCACATCTCCTGAGAGGCCAAGGAAATGCTCTCCCATGACTAAGGCTGGAGATCCAACCAGGAACAAAATATCTCTTTTCCAGTTTTAAGACCATTTGAGAAGACAGAAATAGGTGTTGGGTGATTTTTCTGTGGTTTTAAGATATAATACTACCTCTTACAACTAAATCAATTATTTTGGAAACAAACAAAAGGTTACTTGATCCACGTGACTGACTTTATGAATTATGAATATCATACCTAAAAGTCCTGATGCATGCCAATATTTATTTTTTAAATACAGGATAGGTATATAGGATCAAACATCTAAAAGTTTTCTAAAGAATGTGAACAGAGTTAGCAGGACTTTCAGAGGACCACATTTGGACAAAACACTGGAACTGTTATGCTACAGTGATAGAACTTAAACTCGCTCATCATAACTGCATCAGTACAGAGAGCAGTGTCTCCAATATCCAAAACCTGACTTCAAAATCCAATAATTCTAAACTTTCACTAAGAGGAGTGCTGGGCTTCACAACATTACCTCCACCTCAGACTCACAAAG